CCCCAAAACCCCAAAACCCCAAAACCCCTCTTTTACTAAATTTTATTGAATAAAAGTTCGAAATGAATCTATTTTGTCTTAAAAACATATATTGAAGCATCTTGATAAATAATTCTTGCCATCTTAAATTATTACGAAAGATAAGAACAAATTTGTCATGGAATGTTAATTATTAGCGCCTTCTCTGCTTCTTTGTCTCTGACATTTAGTCTTAACACATTTCCAAAAAGAGGAGTTCAAATAATATTTCAAGCCTCTGAAGTGCTTCTCTGGACTAATTAAATGGTTTGTTCCTATGAATAGCAATTGAGATCAGAATACAAACATGCTTATTGTGGAAATGCAAGGATTACAATCTTTCCAAAGTAGATTATCACTGTGGAAAATTGAAATATCAGCTTGCTATTGTTGTGATTGCTCCAGAAACAATACTAATGCCGATACTGGCTAAAACTGCACTGATTCTTTTGTGTCTATTTCGAAGGGGCATTCGGCATAATGGTTTTCAAAATGCACAACATAATCTATTGAGAATCCAACTATTATAACTATTGCTTCGATAACACCGAATCCCCAAGAATTTAGCTCCATAATTACTATCAAAGATGTGACGATAATTGAAATGCATATGACAACATAGATGGCAATCATTATGCTTAGAGTTTACAGAAGCATGGCATAAAATACGAAGCATATAGAAATCAAATATCCTGCATAGATACCTCTAATTATCTCAGACTCTGTCTCTAGACATACCCAATGACACCCACTAGTTTGGAAGGCCTTGTTGATTCCTTCTGAGAAAACATTGTTATAAGAATCTTGTAAAGCCTCCCATTTTTAAGTATAAGATACAATGTTTCTTACTTCAAGAGGAGCTTCAGGAGTTAGAGTCGCAACTTGGATAAAGTGAAGCTTTCCTTCGAAATATTCAATCAAGTTTTGGTTATAATATTGTTCTCCTTGGATAGCCGTTAGATAAGTATTAAAGAAGAGTATCGAAGTTAGCTTCAGAAACTGGAGAGCCTCCACCTTGGCTGGCAAAAAATCTTCTAACCATCAAGTCACGACCTTATTTTCTACAAATTTATGGTATCTTAAGTTTGAACAAATGTCAAGAACTCTTTGCTGGTTCGCAACAAGGGCAAGGTTAAAAGTTTTATCATAAATGAGCTTTCCAAGAGCATTAGAATCCTAATTCCTAACACAATCTGTATCAATATCTTCTAGTCCTCATACAAAGCTTACTTCTATTTTCCTGTATTTAGAGCTGAATTAAAATCATGCTTGACATTGTTCCCAACTTCTTCCACATTATGGTCGCTTGCTAATCTCTGTGAATGATTTTTGGAAGTTCCAAATTTAGTAATCCTCCAAATTGTAAATAATATCTACATCAAAATGATTCCAATAATAAAGTATTTACATTTTTAACCCAAGAGCTCCAGTAATCAAGGAAGAGCTTTTCAATAGTTGCCAACTCTTTTATCTCAAGTTTCTCCTTCTTTCAGATTTCTTCTTCCTTTAAGTCGACATTAAGGTCAATCAAACCAAATTGTGCTTTATCCAAATTATAAAATCTTGATTATCATCTTGTTCAGAGCTTTAGTGTTACTTCCTCACTTATAATCTTCAGATTCTTCACTCAAGAAACTTTTATCTGTGCCCTTGTGGGTACTATTCCATTGTTATCAATAAAGAAGCTTCTTACTTGATTCGAGGATGAGGTTTAGATTATCGTAGTTCTACCAATATATTATAATATTATTAGGTAAAATTCATAAATTTAGGTGAGAAAATTTACTTTTTAGTAGGACTTTTAAGTTTATATGCTTCTTCTACAGAAGATATGTCAACTACTTTATTAATTTTGCCATTCTTCTCGAAACAGTATCTTTACAGAAGGAGGTATCTGAGATAAGAGCAATATTTGCATCTGTTTAACAGATATTTATCTTAGAGTATTATGCATCATCAATAATAGTAATAGATGAGCACATATCGCATCATTCCAAGTACAGATAGAAATCCGAAGGCTGAAACAGGTCTTAATTTACTAGCTCCAGTCACCACAAAGATAGAAATGATTAAGAAATGTAGTAAGAATAGCTTTGTTGTCCTTCTCCATGTGTGGTTCATTCTTTTTGGTAGCCAGCCTATTTTAGTATCTTCTTTCTTTTTAAGTTCTTTGAATATTGCTGACTGCTTCCGGCAATCAGCAAAGCAAACACATCATCAGCTACAGTTCCTAGTATTACAAAGAGAGAAATAAGTAAATACCTTCTCTTGAGCCAAGTTTTCCATATCATTTTACTTTATTAGAGTAGAATCCCACACTAAGTAATCTTTCCAATAAGTTTGGCTCCCTTCGATACTTCTTACCAAGATAGTAATAACTGATCATGCAAGCATTAGAAAAATGAGATGAGTAACACTGTTCATGGTGCATGCCCTATAAATTTAGAGAAGAAGAAAGGTCTGCTTACATAAAGTATTTCCTTACTAATCTTCTCTGCTGTAACTTCCTATGTAGATTTCTTTTGTGTAGGCTCTTGTTCCAGAATTTACAAGCCTCCGTCTAACCTTTCATTTCTGGTGGTATTATTGCACCCACGCTATTCTAAAGGCCATCTTCTATAAAAGACAAGTGTAATTCATCTTGTTGATCCATATCTGATTTAAATTTAAGAGCTTATATAATTTATTAATAAAAAAGCAATATCTGTTGGAATATGGGGTTTTGGGGTTTTGGGGTTTTGGGG